AACTCCGAGAGCTCTCTGACCCTCCATAGACAGCAAGGATCCTTACACGATCAAGGCTCAGAAACGTAGTAAGGAGATCGTTAAAATAATCCATGCGACATCAGTGGCTCAACCGTAATTTTACGAAGATACGAGAATACTTTTTGTGCGCAAAGAAAACAAAAATAACGACTTTTTAAAAAATACCTTAATTTGTGTTCCGAAGATAAACGAAGGTCTTACAGGTTTGGAACGACGTGAGGGTGAGTAATTAATGACAGAATTTTCATTTTTGGGTGAACTATCCCTTTAAAGGGCACCTATTATGCCCCTTTTTACAAGATGTAATATTGGTCTTGGGTGCCCCTAGAATGTGTATGCGAATTTTCAGCTCAAAATGCCCCACAGATCATTTATTATAACATCTGAAAAATGTCATTTTTGGGGCGTGTCTAAAAAAGAGATGTTTTGGTGTGTATGACTTTAAATGCAAATGAGCTGCATATTCCCCCCCGTCTCCAGAAGAGGGTGTCACGTATACGTCTCTGCTTTGCATACCTACTTTATGCTTACGAGACATTTTTGACGTTACAGCTGCTCGAGAGCGGAGAAAATGGAGGACAGCGTACAACCGCTGAGGGCGGAAACTATGGCAATGCTATGCTGTCAATCAGCCGCCATGGGCGGGGCATATGCAATGTGATATCACATTGCATTTATTTGCGAGTTGAGTTTTGATGACAGTTATTTGCGTTTTAATAACGTTCTCAACATGTTAGCACAAAAACATTTTTCTGAAACATTTTAGCTGGACGTTTGTGTAAGATGGTTTTGAGAACATTTAAAAGTCATAATAAAATGGAATGTTACCCTTAATGTTGTCTCTAATGCTCACGTAAACAAGAAAAACACTCGTTAAATATTTAAAAAACTAGACATTTTGAATGTTTACAGAGAACGTTCAGAAGTAACGTTTTCACAACCTAATGAGAACGTTAGAAAAACGTTCTTAGAACATATTTTGTTAGCTGTGTATGCATATAATTTTTAAAATAACATTAAAGTTAATCAAAACTATAACAAACTATAAAAAACATGTTATTTGAAGTGAAAATAAAATAAGTTTAAGGTTTTCTTTATAATTTCTTTTATTTAGTTTAACTCGATGTACTAAAATGACTAAAATTAAACCTGAATTAAAAATGAATAAAAACTATATACACATTAAAAAACAATAAAAATGTCAAAACACAATAAAATTACTAAAACTAACTAAAATTAAAATGAAAACAAAAAATACCAATAAAAACTAATTTCATATATTAATATAAACTGTAATAGTATCACAATCATACCAAATGTAAATAAGAAATTAATGCATTTATTGATCAGGGATGCATTAAATTTATCAAAAGTGCCAGTAAAGACATTTATAATGATACTAAAGATTTCTATTTCAAATAAATGCTGTTCTTTTGAACTTTCTGTTCATCTGTGAATCCTGAAAAATAAAATGCATCACGGTTTGCACAAAAATATTGTGCAGCACAACTGTTTTCAACATTGATAATAATCAGAAATGTTTCTTGAGCAGCAAATCAGCATATTAGAATGATTTCTGAAGATCATGTGACACTGAAGACTGGAGTAATGATGCTGAAAATACAGCTGCGCATCACAGGAATAAATTACAGTTTAACAGATATTCACATAGAAAACAGCTGTTTGAAATTGTAATAATATTTCACAATTTTACTGTATTTTTTATTAAATTTAAACTGTAATAATTTTTCAATGTTTTAATTTTTTTATCAAATCAATGCAGCCTTGGTGAGCAGAAGAGACTTCTTTCAGAAACATTCAAAAACCTTATTGACGGCAAGCTTTTAAATGGTAGCTTATGTAATGTTTTGTAAATTATTATTCATATCAAATTAAATATGCCTTCCTCTCTGACTAAAGTATATATGAGACTACAAATCATGAAGTCCATTACCCATGTTGCCCCTCAGCAGGCCCTCGGTGACCTTTGACCAGAGGATGTAGTCGGGTTTGGGCGTCTGCGGTGGAGAGGAGCAGGGTTTGGGAATGAAGAAGGAGGGAGTGAGCGAGAGCAGCGCAGACGCAGTGATGGAGTAACAGTCTCTCTCTCGCAGCCGGAGTCTCTCAGTGTGCGTCAGGTGAGAACACGGGAGCAGATACCTGCAGGAGCAAACATGGACAAAGTCTGGTCAGATCCCACCCAAGACACACGCATGCCATCACACTCAACACCAACAGCCATTGGTCGGACAACCAGAGAGTCCCGCCCCCAGACTCACACCATTGGTTGAGTGAGTCAGTGTTATTGTCTCGGCTTCTGAGCACCTCAGTGTTTTGAAAGTGCAGTTACACTATTTAAGAAGTCCAGCTATGAAACGATCAACCTACAAATGGCTTAATATAGATAGGAATAATTATAAGTATAAGAAGTCCTATTTAGCTTAGAGTAGGTGATGTTTTAACTAGTGCTGTCAAACGATTAATCGCGATTAATCGCATACAAAATAAAAGTTTTTGTTTACATAATATATGTGTGTGTGCTGTGTATATTTATTATTTATATATATAAATACACACACACACAGTATATTTTGAAAATATTTACATGTATGTATTTATATTCATATAATTTATATTATACATAAATATATTTAATATATAAACATATTTTTTCTTAAATATATACATGCATGGGTGTGTATTTAAAAACTTTTATTTTGTATGCGATTAATCGCGATTAATTGTTTGACAGCACTAGTTTTAACACACCAAAAATGGCACACAAAATTAAAACCTTTTTTTACCCATAATTTTAATAATTAATTAACATAGATTTTTGGGACACCATAAGGCATAGTTTTAGTATAATAAAATCATGTATTAAAAATGAAATGTTGTTTTAAATCATAAAAGTTCAATTGTTTTGTAGAAAAAAATCCTAAAATTATTAAAAATTATTACAGATAACATGATTGATTAAAAAAAAGTAAAGAAAAAAATAAAAAACTAAATTTAATTTACATTTTACTTTTACATTTGACTATTTAGCAGATGCTTTTATCCAAACTGACCATTGCTGCAAATAATTTCATGAAAAAATTGATAAATTATGACAACAGCATTTTTGTAAAGTTATAAAACAGTTTTATTGGTATATAATCACGCTATTAAAAATATGATTAATACATTTTTTTAATCATTTGTAGAAAATCATAAAAATGTCATTTTTAAATAAAATATTATATTATTAAACATATGACAAGTAAAAAACTAAAAAGGGAAAAATATTAATTTTGACTTTTTTAAAAATGGTATAATCATTAAAAAAAAAATTAAAATATGTTTGACTATTTTAATAAATGTAATATATTTTTTATAATTTACATTTATTTATTTAGCAGACGCTTTTATCCAAAGCAACTGCTGCTGCTGTCATAACATCATGACAACACAGCATTTTGGGAAGTTATAAGTCATCGTTTTATTAGAATACAATCAAATAATTAAAAATATTATTAAAATATAAAAACTGAAAACATGACTTCACAGTTTTTAAAATTTAAATATCAGTTTGGGATAATTTAATGAAAAAAATCGTAATAAAATTACTTGGCAATTTAAGAAGTTGTAAAACAGCTTTAATTCAAATCTATATACAAATCATATTCAAGTCATGTGGAGGATGCATTAAAAGTTTAATGTTTAAGTATCTTAAACTGAATGTGTCAGAATGCATGTATATATCAGAGAAACAGCTAAAACTGGTGTTCATTTACATGTTTTAAATTCATATTTCATCTCTACAGGAAGAGAAAGAGGACGCAAATACCTGAGAATTAACTGCAGCATGACATCTTCACAATACAGACCAATCAGAGTGCGGAACAGAGCCAACACTCACACACACTCACGCACACTCACGCACTCACACACACGCACACTCACACACACGCACACTCACACTCACCTGAAACGGTGTGTTGATCCTGCTGACCAGCGTGTCCAGGATGCTGACGTTGTCATGGCGATGTCTGAGGATGAAGATGAGGAAGGTCTGGAGGAGGGCGGAGTCAGAGATGCTGCGCAGGAAGAGCTCCAGATACGCCGTCGTTGCCATCACCTCCTCCAGAGTCAGCTGACCAATAAACAAACAGCAGCATTCACGGAGAGATCGGACTGACCAATCACAGCTGTCCAAATACAAACACACTCCCAGTTAGTTACCTTATGAAGCGCAGGAGCCATGACAGGAACGAGAAAACCATTGTAGATGTAGCCCAGGAGCTGATCTCTGATAGAGGGGTGAGCCACCTACACA